TCCTTGGTGAAAAGAAACAAATTGCAAATCACAGAGCTAGCGCTATTTCCCATTGGGATATACAGTGGATGGACAAAAATATGGAAACACCTTGTGAAATGCATGTTTGAAAAGAAAGATTGATTTTAATGAAATATGTAGGTGGCGCTGACGTTTTTGACTACTGACGCCACCTATGCAACTTCGTAAATGTGCTAAACAGTTCACTTGTTGTCGGAGTACTGTTATGTGAGATTGTCATTGCATTATGTCAGAGTTAACAGACTTCGAACGTGGGCAAATTGTTGGAGCACGTATGGTAGGTGCTTCCGTAAGCAAGGTAGCCGAGGTGTTTAGTGTTTCAAGAGGTACTGTATCGAAGATTTATTCTGCATATTTGAAAAGTGGAAAAACATCATCTGGTAAATATCAGCACGGACGAAAGTGTGTCCTGAGTGATCGTGACAGACGATCATTAAGGGCAATTGTGACAAAAAATAAGAAGACCACAGCTGCAAAAGTTACTGCTGAAATGAACGTTGTGTTACCGAGCCCTGTGAGTACCAAAACAATTAGAAGGGAGCTTCATAAATAGGGAATTGCTGGCCGTGCTGCAATTGAGAAGCCACTCATCAGTGATGCTAATGCCCGTAACAGGAAAAGGTGGTGTTTAAGTCATAAAGCCTGGACTATAGAGCAGTGGAAGCAAGTAATATGGTCTGACGAGTCTTCTTTCACATTGTTTCCCTCTTCTGGCCGAGTTTACGGCTGGAGAACGCCATCTCAAGCCTATAATACAGACTGTTTGTTGCCAAGAGTGAAACATGGCGGGGGTTCTGTTATGGTTTGGGCAGCCATATCGTGGTTCTCTGCTAGCCCCATGATAACTGTATCAGGGCACATGACTGCCAAGACTTATGTGAAATTTTGGCCAATCAAGTTCATCCCATGGTACAAACTTTGTTCCCCGATGGTGATGGTGTCTTCAGAGATGACAAAGCCCCTGTTCACACAGCTCACATTGTCCAGGACTGGTTTTCTGAGCACGAGGATGAGTTGTCCCATCTCCCCTGGCCACCACAGTCACCAGACCTGAATATTATCGAACCTTTGTGGTCTACATTGGAACGGAAAGTGCGTTCTCGTTATCCACCGCCAACATCGTTATCTGAACTTGCCACCATTTTCCAGGAAGAATGGTATAATATTCCCTTGGCAAACATACAGGAACTGTATTTATTCATTCCGAGAAGTCTGCAAGCTGTTTTGGATGCCAATGGGTTTCCTACACCATATTAAACAAAGAAACATGTTTTTTTAAAGGTGTTTCCATATTTTTGTCCAACCCCTATATATATACACACACCAAATGTATGTATATATACATTTGGTAACTGCAATAAAAAAGCAAGCTGTGCAAGTAGATATTATAGCAGTCCCATATACAAAATTTCAATATTCTATGACTAATAATTTTTTAGTTATTTGAGATGTACAGACATCATTAAAAAGTCCATTTTACAATGCATTTTGGAAAAGAAGAGTCCTTTATTCTGTCCAAATGTACTAACATGCCACAAAAAAAAAATCATCCAAATTGGTTCAGAAATGGTCAAAATGAATATTTCTGTTGAAATATGATAACCAAAATTTTTTGCGATTACAAAACATTCTTCTTACTTTGTACAAAGAATTTTAAAAAAGGGGGGAGAAAGATAAAAACTACTCATCTGACATATTGATTTCCAAAATCTGAAAAGATTCATATAACCTTATGGGATGAAAATAATTTGAGTATTTAAAACAGAATAATTGAAGAATACTAATTGTCTTCGAAATAAAATCTCATATTGCAATATTTATATTTGGTGTTTTGATGTGATGAATTTTGACCAAGATTTGTGAAATGAAATGACATCAGACATGTTTAGTTAATGCTTTAAATGGAATTTAAAATTTTATTCCATGCAGTCAAATGTGATGTTCTATTTATTTTAATATAGAACTGAGTAAAAAAGAACTTTTAAAAAGTGTTATAAGGTATTTTCTCTCTCCTTTCTGCATACCTTCATAGTGTAACGGGTAGCATACTTAGCTTGTATTCGAGAGGTCTAGGTTCGAGTTTCAGCAAGGGCACTGCATATTTTTCACCTCTCCTGTTTCAAAATCACTTAATGTACCTATGGTGGCACCCGAACTGACAAAGTGGTGGATGATGATTCTTTACCACCAGGATTTGGCAGTTGGGTCACCGAATCCCCATTTGCCCTTTAAAAGGGTTCGGCACGTATTCGAGAGATCCTCGTTCAAGTTCCAGTGAGGGCATTGCTCATTTTTCAAGTACTCTTGCTTCAAAAATAACCTAATGACTGTACAGTGTAATGAAATTTCAGAAATATACATACTTTCAAATTCTATTCAAGTCTATATTGTTTATGTTGTTATAGAAATTCTTTTATGATTTTGCTTCTTCTCTCTCTCTCTCTCTCTTTTTTTTTTTTTTTTTTTTTTTTTTTTTTTAATTTTTTACCAAGTGTGTCCTACCCATGTGGCTTTCAAAGTCTGTTTTGTGTTTTTTCTCATATGTAATATATGTAATAATAAATGTAATTACAGATATTACATAAATGTAAACATTATGTTTTTAAATAATAAATTTCTCATATAAAACTTTGTCATAACTGAACAATCCAGTCACAGACTTGCCAACTCTCCCGATTTAGGCGGGAGACTCCCGATTTTCGATCGCTCTCCCGCCAACCCGATTTACAATATATTTCTCCCGACTTTTTCTTATTCTTAAAATTTCTGACGATTTTTATGGAACTTGTCTTAATACTTTGTTATATGAACAAAAAAAAGTGATTTTGAACGTCCGAAACAAATGAATTTTCTCTATATTATATCTAAAACAAAACCTTGCGAATTAGATAACTTCTGCTTTGTGAGTGAGAGCATATACGTATCCAGAAACGGCCTTCTCCAGTTTTCCAATGGGCATCGTGCTCCACTACGTGTCATCTGGCATATATTAGCCAATGATGACAAAACAAGCTGCTATTTGGATGTTCTTTAGTTATTTCGGTCATTTTGTCCTGAGTTGTTTGAGTACACGTGCCTTCAGAAATAGTTTTAGAAATTATCAGCTTTTGTTATGTCTGCGAGAAAGGTGAAATTCTCGTGTACGTTTCAAAAATCGTAGACAGTTGACTTTCCTTCCATTATTTCCTCAAGGAAATGTAATAAATTTGCGATGTGTACCGCCTTTCGTTGCGATTTTTCGATTTTGCATGGTGGAAGGGCGGATGTTCTCAAACATGTGCGTACTCAAAAACACAAGGGCAACGTGAGTTGTTTTGAAAAAAAAAAAACGAAAAATTAAATTTTTCTTCGGAAACAAAGGACCAAAAAGTTAATAATGCAGAATGTCTGTTCTCTGCCTTTTTACTGGAGCACAACCAGCCACTGAATGCATCGATCACGCTGCAGCTTTATTTAAGAAAAATGTTTCCCGATAGTGAAATCGCTAAAGAAATACTTAAGTGCAAGGAACCAAAAGAGGTGCAATTGTTAAAGAAATGGATTTGAAAAATAAATCTTCAGTTATTGATTGCATTAAAACAGCTCCGTTCTGCCTCTCTACGGATGGAAAGCAATAATACCGATGCAATGATCCGTTGCAACAGCAAACTGTATCCAATTGTTGTTTCTTTTTTTTAATCCAGAGTCTTCAGAAATTGAGTGCAGTTTACTTTGGTGTCCCCACATTAGAATGCACCAATATTGGTAGGCATTAAGTAGAGCTGGTTGTTGCAGGCATCTTCAGAAAGGAAAATTCAGATTTGCAGATTATGATGTGCACCTGTCATTTCTTAAATTTAGCAGCTGAAGAAGGAGTAGCTTCTTTACCAATAAATGTGGATGAACACATTGTTGATATTTATTATTAATCTTGAAAGGAGTTCTAAAAAGCTGCCAGGAAAAATTGAAACAGGTCCAACAGCTGCATAACAGCAGTTTACAATTAGAAAACTTTGGATGGAGTTCAAGCTCAGCTAGGAAAGGAAGGCTCAGGAGGAAAATCAGCTAGGATTGACACCCAGTGGAGTTTAATTGGAAAACTGAAAGGATGCTGATGGAATTTTTAAATATAGTGAACTGTCTAGAATTATGTTGGCCATCTTCACAGTTCCCCATAGTAATGCAGAGTGTGAGAGGATTTTCAGTGTTGTTGCGAAAACGAGGACTAAATTTAGATCTAATATTAGTGATGACACATTAGAAAACTTTTATTAGTGAAAGCAGGCCTACGTGGCAATTGCTATGAACAAAATTATGAAGTTTCTTTCTTAAAGAAAACAAAATCTGCCACTGTTTATACCATTTGTACGAAAACTGATTAAAGGTGTTTTTTGTTTGTTTGTTTTGTTTTCTTAAACGATGTAAGTAATAAAAATGTTTTTTATGTGTAAGGTATTTTTGTGTTGCTTGCATTTAGGAATTAGTTACTATTTAAAGTTAATTCATTATTAAAAACTACATTTTCCTCATTTAAAAAGTCGTTTTAACATTGTGAAAAATCTCCCGATTTCTTAAAAAAATCTCCTGATTTCTGAGTGTCATAGGTTGGCAAGTATGCAGTCATATTCAATCCTTAAATTAGATTTTGCTATAGCTGTTTATAATGTCTACATCTAATAAAAAATAAAGCGTTAAGCAACTGTTTTTCTGTGTAGTGATTTTAAAAAGATATAATTGTAAGAGAAAATAAATTATGGATTTTTTCCTTATTTATGAGGAGTTCCTTTTATTGATCTCATCTCAAAATTTAAAATTTCTGTATTTATATTTACGTATAAGATACACAAATCCGAATCAGGCAATGTGATCTTGTAGACTACTGTAAGCATATAATGTTATTATAAAATTAAAAGAAAAAATAAAATGCATTCTTTTTTGTTTGCATGAAGTTATTAACATATTTCAAGGTGTTTTTTTTTTTTTTTTTTTTTTTTTTTTAGGAGAATGTAAAAAACAAATGCTGAAGTACTTATTATGTTTGAACCAAAAAGACAACTCTAATATTGTATGTAGATCTTTAGCAAAAGATTACCTTCAGTGTAGAATGGATAAGTGAGTACTGTTATATATTATTATATTTTAGCTTCAGAAATGTATTAAAAGAAAATTAAATTACCTAAAAACTATTCATACTAATCATTATTAAGAAATTTAGGAAGAACAAAGTGGATTCCATGCTGCATAAAATTTTGATTTAAATGATTGCATTATACAGTCAAAAGTCTTTAACCCGGACGTCCATAATCTGGAATGATCTATAATCCGGACATCAAAGCTACAAACTTTCTGCGCATGCGTAAATGCATAATGCGCATGCGTAAAGGTATAATGCGCATGCGTAAATGCATTTAAGCATGCGCATTATACCTTTACGCATGCTCGTTTAATGTATAACCGACAGTATAAGCTAAGCTAAAATTATCTAATTATCTATTTCAGTTGCGTTATTTCAGATTTTGTTGTTCCTTAATCTAATTGGATCAGGCTTATTATTTTTTGCAGACTGTTAGAGCAATTTTATAAAAAGTAAGCTTGAACTTTCGATTATGTCAAAAAGAGTTTCCGATTCTGGAGCTGCCAAAGGATCTACGAAGCGAAAGCATGTTTCGATGTCCATCAAACAAAAAGTGGAATTGCTGCAAAAAATGGATAAAGGCATGAAGAAAGTGACAGAGAGGTGATTTGTTTCTCTAACCGTTCCAAAATCTGTTTATCAATTTCACGCTGCTCTGCCGGGGAGGGGAAACACCGTGGCGCGCAATGAACTGGAAGTTGATCTGTCAGCACTATCCTTATCCTCAGGGCAGATGTTTTTATTTTATTCTGCTTATAATTCCTTACTAAATGCAGTATTTCATCTCGATGTACTCCGTCTTTGATTTAAATCAAATTCCTCGTCATTATAAATATCACGAATACACATAAAATAGTTTTCTGGTTGCAATTTTCTAATTTCGACTATGCGTAATGTATGCTTTACACATGCATGTGTTGAAAGAAATGTTTAATAAAGTAAACAAATAAATATTAAGCTTTTTTTTTTGTAAATTTTGATACCCTTTAGATCATAATTGCTCTTTATTTCATAAATTATGGTTTCATATTTTTAATTTTATAATTTCTGCATGTCATCTGACCAGATTTAAACAGATGATCTATAATCCAGAATCACCGAAGTCCCGACGAGTCCAGATTAAAGACTTCTGACTGTATCACTCGCTTATCATAAACACTTGGTTTCAGTTCGTGAAAGCGGCTGATTTTGTAGGCGTAAAATCCAATAACACGCCGCAAAACTCTCCATACCGTGGAATAATTCATGTTCAATTGTCGAGCTAGACCCCAGGCGCAATGCAATTGCAGTTGCCACATTATTTATTACATCTTCTGATACTGGTTTACGTCCTCTCTCAGCGCAAATGGTCAGTGATCCTGTTTCTTCGAACTTCTTAATAATTTTCCTAAGACCATTCAGCGATAAAGGCCCTAATTTTTTTCTGGTTCGAAATTCCCAAAGAGCTGCGGATGCATTACATTGATTCATCTAACACAGCTTCGCCAGTAACGCACGTTCCAGTAACGTGAGAGGCGTGTCCACTGGAGCTCGTTTACTTCAGCTGAGATTATTTGTCGGAGCTGTCTACTACTTGCTTTTATAGCCGCTATTACTGGCGCTGTCATCACACAACATTTGCATTTTTCTTTTATACCCGTGTTTTATGCTAATTATCATTATTGTAAGCTACAGCAGCAGTACAAAATTCCCTAGTGGCGATTTTGGAACTACATTTTTTTTCACGAAATCCTTTTTCCCGTGTCTTGATTATTCTAAATACCAAGTTTGGTGCCATTTCGGCTATTAGATCGCGCTACAGGGCCCTTCAAACACTGTCACTTTAAAAAAGATCATCCTGTATTTCATTTTGCAAAAATTACCAATCTTTTAATTACTGGCTTGCTTATTAGAGATAGATTAGCCTCTTTTGTTAAGAAAAATATATGGAGTGAAATCGAAGAAGAATATTATTGGACTGATTCATCAACAGTCTTATCTTGGATTAAGAAAAAGGAAATATGCGGTACTTTTGTCCATAACAGAATAAAAGAAATTCAAGATTTAACCAGAACTGAAGATTGGCATTATATTTCAAGTGTAAGAAATCCTGCCAATTTACTCTTGAAGGGTGTTAGAAGCTATGATTGTGAGAAGAGACATATTGGTTAACCCTCTGAGCAGCATGAATGGTTTTATTCAGTCGAGAGATTTTTTCTCACTTGGTATATATAAACTTGCAATTTATGATATTTTGCTTTTGTACTTTATTTCATAATGTAAGTGTCATTTTAATAAATGTAAGTTTATGATAATGAAGACTAAAATTTACAAATTTAACTAATAAATTATGTTTAAATACATGTCTTCACAACAGATACAAAAACTATTTCCACTCAGAGGGCTAAGAAAGCAGAAAAATGAATGACCACAGTACGATCCTTTTGCAGATGAAGAATTAAATGCAGGGGGGGGAACTGTACATCATTAAATTGTAATAGCAATACAAACTTCTGAATGTCATCATATATTTTGAATTATACAAAGATTTTAATAATGGTAACTTGTATGTTGAGATTTAATAGAAATGCATGACTATAAGAGAAAAAATATGAAAAGTGAGAGTTAAAGGTTTATGAATTGCTGACAGTGGACAATTTGTCTGTTCACAGATGGAAATATTTCCGAGTTCAAAACAAAGACTGAAAAAAAAAAAAAAAAAAACATGAACAAAGTACATTTCATAAAATCAACATCAGTGGTCAAAGAGAAACTGGTTCACATTCTCGGAATGCATAGAAAAATCGTGTGGCCATCTTTCCTGGGAATTGACCCTGGATGAATCAGTATTCAATAAAGGCTTGGCCACTGGCATCCAATAGCTCTGAAGCAATACAGTCAAGTTAATTCAATCTATTATGACAGTAAAATAGAATTTTGTCTGCTATCTTCAATGTCAGTATTAATATGAAATATAATTCTTTTACTCTCATTAATCATTTTTGGAAACTGTATGCTTATTCCAAATAGAATACATTACAGTAGAATTTTTACCTTTGTGTTCAATACTCAGTATTTACAATAAATATTTTCTGTTCCAGGAACTTAATGGCTCGTGAAGACTGGGATAAACTGGGATTTTCAGAAAAGCAAGATAGTTAGAATATTATATATCATGTTAATACTTTTCCTTGTGATATTTGTGAACTAAAAGGAAAGGGTATTTTATAATTTCTTCTAGCAGAGATAATGTATTTATAATATTAAAATTTGTACCTTTGAATGCAAATGAATATTTAATAAATATACACTATATAAATAATTAATAATTATATCTAAATAGCTTATATTTTAAAAGCTTCCAAAAATTTAATTTATCTTGTGTCCATTACTTGCCATTCAGAAATAAATGTACTGATCATTATACCCTAAAAAAAATTATATTTACTTAGTTCCTATCTATAATCCCTAATTCAAGTAACAAAAAATACATTACAGTTAGATGATGATGAAGTTACAAAAGATTGAGTTATGTTTACTGGCATTCAATAAATAGTTGTATTCAAACACAGTAAAACTTTCTATTGTGCCAACCAGGACTTCAGATTTTTTTTTTTTTTTTTTTAATAGATGAAATAAAAAAACTTGAATATCAGTCATGATCAGTAATCATGTTTTAAGACACAACAAAGTACTTTTTTTAAATAAAATAAATATAAACATAGGTCTAAATGTGATATAATCCTGTAATATCAAAAAAAAAAAAAAAAGTCCCTTATTCTGCCCTTTATAATTAAGTTTCAAATAGTCCCTTATTATTAAGTTTCAAAATATCTGTTTGTGAAAGTTTTAGGTTCTCTTTTGGTTTTCTAGTTGGCTTTTTCCATAAATTTCTTGAATCCAAAATAATTAATGTGTTTACAAATGCAAATATCATTGTTTATGTAGAGATAACTTTCCTTTTTTAAAATAATTCTGCAATTTGTTCGTCAGATATGTTTTTGTCATTGGCAGGCCAACTTCAGATATAGTTTAGAGTGTCAGTTAAGATGTTCTCACAAATGACAAATAAATAAAGGTACGTTTTTGCTTTGAATTTTTTTCCCCCCTCCACCCAGGGCATTGAAAATACTGAAGCCACAGTTGGTCACAAAACAAAACGGGTAATATAATTATCATGAAAAGTTTAAAATAAAATAATTATGACAGCTTTGAACTCTGGTTGAACCAATGAGCAACAGTCTTACCATTTGGCCGCTAATGAGCACAATTATACAGAAAAACATTGTAGTATGCAGGATTTGCATCAAAGTGTTCAACTGCAAAAAAACACTTCATAGGTTATTCTTGTTCCAAACATGCCTCAAATAGTAATAAAGAAACTAAATGTATTAAGAAAAAAAAATACATGCATGCAATGAAATTTTGGGTTTCATGATGATGATGATAGTGCATAAAAATAACAATGCAATCATAGCAGCTGATATAGTTTCTAATTTTTGGCAAAGCATTGTAGTAGTTTCAAGTGAATGTACACTGCTCAAAAAAAAAAAAATGGGACAGTGCTATATCTCCCGTTCTACTGTGCCGATTGACAAAATTCAACCTGCGTTTTTCATGTCTCGAAAGCGCGACTTAGGATATATATTAGATTTATATATAGCACTATTCTAACATAGGTATTTTGACACAAAATTGGACTTTTTCTAAAATAACATACCAATTTTTTTCATATTTCGATTCTACGACTCAAATTATGGCAGAATACCAAGTTTTGTAAAAATCGTACGAGTAGTTTTTAAAATATTAGCTCTCAAAATTTTAGCTCCTCAATGTTAATTGAATTTGGCAAATATTTATTAATATCTCCTTTTTTATTAAACTTTTTTGATTTTTTCTCTCACATTTCGAAATTTAGGTTCATTCCAAATAAAATTTACCTATTTTTTTTGTGTTTTATTTTTAAAATTTCTATTTTAAAATAATTTTTATAAATTTTTCGAAAAAAATTTTGAATTATAACCTATAAAATTTTTACCATCATCTTAAAGTAGGTGTATTTTTAAGCATATCTGCAAAAAATTAGGATTTTTTATTCAAAATTTTCTAAGATATACACGAATTTACATATTTTCGCGTTTTGAAATTTGGCATGTTTTTTTTGAGCGACAATAACGCCAAATGTGGTCTATGGATTTTTGTTACACTGAATTGCCACAGCTATTTTTAACCTTAAATTTCAAGTAAAATTTTACGGAGAATTAATTATATGACATTTTTTTCCCTCAATGATGCGTAATAAATATTTATTAATACTATATTTTAAAGCTATTTTTTTAAATTATAGATGATATTATTCAAATTTTTAACTATTTTTTTTAATTTCTCTATATCTTAAAAAAAAAAAGAGTAACTTTTTGTATGAGTAAATTTTTACCTTCGGCGTTTTATCGTCTGCTGCTTTAACTTCGTTTAAATCGAATTGTCTAAACTGAGAATTTTTTTTTGTTTGATGTTTATTTGAATTTTATGACAGTAACTGCATAATTTATTTCTAAAAACAAACTGTTGCTTTTGAAGTGGCTGAAAGAGCGGCTGATACATATTTTTAAAGCACAGTATATTTTTATAGAAACATAAGATTTAGAATAATCATTTTTATAAAAGTCAAATTATGATATAAACATACAACCCTCTAGAGAGTGAATTAATGGAAGTTCGGTGGTGGTGTGTAGAAATGATCTGCAGCTACTTAATGGCTGGATAAGTCAGCAGATTCTGTGGACAAGTAAGAATAATTATATAAACGACACCCAACATTCTGGATTCAATTAACAACGAGGATACGATGTTTATTAAATGAATTCAATAAGTTTTAAAACATAAAAAATCAACTAATTTTTTTATCTTAAAATGTATTTTTGTGCATAGCGTATTTTCATTATATTCTTAAAATTCTAATTTAGAATGTAATTGTCAAGAACTGAATCCTAATCATTAGTAATATAATAAGTAATTATTACGGTTATTAATAAATCCTTCTTATAAATTGCAAATGTTGCACACGATATTATTTAATTACACTTCAATTCTAACCGTCAGCTCTAGTAGAAGTTACAAATCAATTACATTTAATTAAGGATTGGATTGGATTATTTAATTATCGCAAAGCACACGAGGGTTATCTGCCTAAAGGGAGGGATTCCTTCGTGGAGGACTTTCTAAGGGAAACTGGCTCGCATACACGTTACGCATGGGGAAAACCACGAAAACGCCCATGCAGCCAGCCCGTTCGCGTGATTCGATCCTCGGACCGAACTACCAGTGTTCAGCGTCTTTACCGCTCGGCGCTGGTGGGCTATTTAATTAAGGAACTACCATCTAAGTTTAAAAAACAGCGTACCGTAGCAGCAATTCAATTATTGGCGCCGCATCTTTCATGTTACTCCCGATTGGCAAGCTACATGATTTTTAATGAGTATTCGGGTTTTGCTAGTAACTTCACTTAGAAATCGCGCTTAACTTTAAACTAGGTATTGGTTATTTGAACATAGAAAGAACATGGGAGCTATATGATTAAGATGCTTTCATACAGAACCTTTGTAAAGAGAACCTAGAAAACTACGAAAACCAACCATGCAGCCTGGGTTAGACTTCGCAAAAAACAATTACTATTTAACAATCTTCAAATGCTAGGCAACTGGTGAGGCTCCATTTAAATCTCCAATTTAATATTTTATTTCTAAATATTTAAAATATTGTTGTATTGTTAGACACAAAAAGCAGAATTTAAGGTTTGTTAACTCGTTAGTAAACTACCAAGCCGTAGTGCAAATGAATACTCAATTGCTTTTGCAATAATTGTATTCACTTAATATTCTTGGAATATGAGCTAAAGAAGGAACGTTCTCGGAAGATTAAAGAAGTGTTTAAATCCAGTGATATTAGGTTTGTCTTACAAGCTCAGGATCAAAACGATTCTGCAATTGCCCGAGTAGTTGACTTGTAAATGACTGTGAATTAAGCAGATGACTTTTAATCTTACGTTTTCAGTCAGAAAACCTATTCCAAATGTTTTGTATTGCATGACAATGCATCTTTTCTTTATTCAATAACCAGTCGGAGAACCGCTTGTGTTCCGAAAATAAGTATGTGTATACTCAATCGTCCTGCATGTTCTTCAAATTGTCTTCTTGTGATTTTTTTTCTTTCCCAAAAACTAAAGTTGCCTCTCAAAGGAAAGTTTTTTTTGACATTGAAGAGACAAAAGGAGTATGAACATCTACTTTTAGAGGCATGTCAAAAACAGATCTCTACAAGCCTCTTCTCTTCCATTACATGTTGTGCAGTCAGAAAAAAGTTAGCATCAGCCGTAAATTTTATAATCTATTTTTATTACACTCTGATTACTTTATTAACATACAGTGAATATATACTAAATCTTTTACTTTAGCTTAAGTAATTCGGAAGTTTGGACGGAATTGTTGTCGGATCTAGGACTTAGAAGATAAGTCAAATTAAATATTTCGATAATCCAATAAATTCAAGGTCGAAGTTTCAATATTTTATTTTCGGGGGAGAGGGAGGGAGGGAAATTTTTTCAGTTTTGGTCCATTATCCTAAGTATATTTGCTTTGATTCTTTATTTTTCCATAAAAGCGAAAAATGTACGCTTGGTATACATATAACGCATAGCTTCAAATTAAAATTTAATAATATACAGAGTGGTTATAATTAAAGTTCCACACTGAAACGGTCATAAAAGGAAAACTACTGGATCAAATGTTATCAAACTTGGTAATCGTGTAAAGGAGGTCATGGGAATTTATTTTTCGCGAAAAAAAGGAAGTTGGAAACCTCACCACCAGGAGAAAATGGCGCTGTATGCAATATTGTTAAACGAAATATGGGTCGGAATCTAACTTAACCTTTTGTTACACAGGTTTTTTAACATGTTGCATACCCTTAAGAAACTTTGAAGTAAGGCAAATTACCATTTAAAAGCGTTGTTGAATTCGATAAAAGTCGAGTGCATCATCCGTGTAAGTGAGAAATTCGTCCGTGAAAACCACGAATTAGCGATTAGAAAATGTGAGATCGCAAATCACTCGCACAAGTGCGTACAATCTGGAAATTGTTTTCTTACAGATCGCTAATTTGTAATTTTTTAAGCCTGAATTCGGCACTAAAACATGAAGATACTGATTCAAAACGCTTTTAATCGATTTGGGCCAAAGAAATCCCTCATGTTATCTATCTAGTTCCATTGCATTCTTCTACTGCATTCGATTGCATAGCAGTCATTCCACACCGTTTAGTGTT